CATCTAAAGCCTGCAGGGACACCGGCCCTCGTGGACTGAGATTGCCCACCCCTGGGCTACAGTGTGACCTCAGTTTTTGGTCCAGTATAATGATGGAGTGGTTCGCTCTGTGTGTTTTATCTTTATCAGTCTGTTGGTGACTGTCATTGTTCACAAAACTCTGATTTTGGAGTCTGTTTGTTGGCTCGGTGGACTTGGCCTGCGGGTGGATGTCCTGCAAGTGTTCACACTGATGCCAATTCAGCACTCAGCTCGAGGGAAGGTACTGAAACATTACCTTCTGTTAAAGGTTACTAAGCTGTGCATTTGAATCCAATCTGAACGTTGTGATGTGGTCACATGTGGCACCATGAACAGGCAGGCAGATGTAGATCCACCGTCCAGCTGCGCGGGACACTTGGAATTTAAGGCATCAGTTCAGCTGCTCTACAAACTGAACAGTGGGCAGCTATACTCGGCTTTCTTTCACTGCAGCCTCAGGTGTTTGTCTCCTCACCTGCTCTCTGTCTCCACAGGCGTCACTGCTTCACATCTCTGGGATCAGTCGGGTCCTTGTTAAAGCCAACAGCATGTGCACAGTGGGATGAGGTAGTAGGTTGTATAGTTTTAGGGTCATACCCACACTGGGAGATAACTATTCAACCTACTGTCTTTCCCAAAGTGCCAAACAGACATCTCAATGGTCCCTGTGTGGATTCCCGAGGTCTTCTCCCTCAGCGGTGTGTTCGTGGATTCAGATGTTGCTCTGCTTTCTGCTGCTCGTCCAGTGTGAGGTAGTAGATTGTATAGTTTTAGGGTAGTGATTTTGCCCTCTTTAGGAGATAACTATACAATCTATTGCCTTCCCTGAAGAGTGGAAGCTCTCAAGCTCTCCTTCATCTGTGGAATAATTTTCATAATGTAAGAGTTTTGGTGTTATCGTATTTATGAGGTGTTAACATATATACTCATATATATGTTAACACCTCATATTCCTCCATGTTCTTATAACTGTTTTTATTCTTGATTCATTTCTTGTTGCAGACTGCAGTTTGGGTTCTGTCCTGTGTGTGTCCTTAATGTATTGCAGAGCTGACAAAACTGACTTTAAAAAATAATAATAATGTTGTGTATCTGTATTGTTTGTGACCTGAGCAGCAGAATGATGAACTTGGACTGTATTTCCACACCTATAAAAGGGATTTGTTTACCGGATACGTTGTTTTTCTGTTGCTTCTTTTTAATGCGCTCTGATATGTTGGACACTTGATGTATAAATTCGTAACTTTGTGTTTTGTTTGTGTTTCTTGAGCTTCCCAATAAAATCTGACCCAGTAATTAAAACAGAAGTGGACTGCTGTGCTATGAATGTACATGAAGGAACTAATCTAAAGGTCCTTAAGGTAATATTTAAAAGACAAAAGGGGGAAAAACACTTCACCTGCAGTTTCAGTGACAGAGAGGGCACAGATCCCACCTACCACAGGACGAGAGGCGCTACACCTTGGACAGGTGGCCAGTCTGTCGCAGGGCTAACACAGACAGACAACCATTCACACTCACATTGACACGTAAGAGCAATTTAGATTCGCCAGTTAACCTACCCTTCTATTACACTTTGTGCAAATTCCTGCTGAAGCGTTTCCCCCGTCCTATCTTTTCCCCAGTTTTGCAGTGATGTGCTGACTCCAGCTTCTTTTAATGGAAATCCAAGGATCCCTTTTAGATTTGGGGATAGGGTGCATCTCGGCATCATTATTCCAAAATATTTCTGCTATTTGGAGTTGTGATGATGGAGAATTCTGTGCAAAATGTCCATAATTCTTCAGCTGGGTTAAGATCTGGTGACTTGGAAGCCCAAACAATCTGATTAGAATGATTGTTGTACTGTTCAAACCATTTAATTCAATTTAATTCAATTCAGTTTTATTTATATAGCGCCAAATCACAACAAAAGTCACCTCAAGG